CACTGCTTCCAGCTCCAAGCGGTTTATGTGCCACCGGCTCTGGGGTTCTGACCACAGCCCCGAAGCTGGCATGCCCTCGCACAATGCTCCCCAGCCGCGAGTTGATGCGTCCGTTGTGACCACAACGCGTGACGTCACCAAGCCCAGGGCAACCCCCCGGCTGAAGAGATCTGGGTTGTGCCACGGCCGCAGAGCTTCGATGCAGCCGCGGGAGACCGCGATGCGCAAATGGCCGAAAGTCCACGCCGTCCAAGGGACTCGAGATTTCAACCATAATTGCAGGGGGCGCATGTGTAGTAAGCCCAGGTGACATACCGCTGCAGCAGACGCCATGAGCCCCAGCAGCCTCTGAAATTCCTTCAAGTGGACAGAGCTGCCCAGTCTGAAATGGCGCAGGGAAGACAAAATGGCCGCCGAGCGCTCCCGGCTCCTCCGCTGGCCGTGGCGTTTCCTCCCGGGACCCCACGCCTTCCTGCGGAAATCCGGCTCCTGGCGAGGGGCAGTAACGTTAGCCGTCACCGCTGTGGTTGCTGGCCTGGGGTTATGCCTCAGCTGGGAAGAGCCAGGTGCCGACGAGGATCTGGATCTCGCCGTCTGCTGCTGGAAAGCACGCCTCGGCATCGCGTGACTCATGGCTTTGGCGCACTTTTGAGCCTCCGCGAAGCGCTCAGTAATGGACTCCACGGCGCTACCAAAAAGGCCGGAGTATTCAGCAGCACTTTATGGTCAGCATCCTTGAGGTCAGCCTGGTTTAACCAAAGGTGCCTCTGAAGGACGACCATAAAACCCATGGCCTTACCCACAGCCTGGGCCGCTCGCTTCGTCGCCATCAGCGCGAAGTCCGTCGCCGCGCGCAGATCCTTAACGGCCTCTGCCGTGAGGGCTCCGCCCTCCGCTGCCTGCAGGAGCTTCGCCTGAAAAACCTGCAGCACTGCCATGGCGTGCAGCGCGGAAGCCGCCTCGCCATCAGACGCATATGCTTTATTGGCAAGGTGGGCGGTGGTCCTGCACGGCTTTGAGGGGAGGCTGATGTCTGAGCCTAGGGTCTTGGCTGCTGCAGGACACAGGTGCGCAGCGACGGTCTCCTCGACTGGGGGAGAGCGCACGTACCCGCGCGCTGATTGGGGCGCAGACCATGTTTTTACCATATTGCAGTTGTTGCTGCTAAGGGTGGCCCAACCAGTTATTAGGTTTAGGGGGCAAACACTTTTTCACACAGGGCCATGTAGTTTTGTTTATATAGTATAAGTTTATATAGTTTTGTAAATCTTTCTGTTTTAGTACTGTATTTTTGTTCAAATAAATGCAGCCATGATGAGGATAAGTGACTTAAAAAAAAAAAAGTGTGTGTGTGTATATATATATATATATATATTTTTTTTTTTTTTAAAGAACAGCTTAAGTTCTTGAAGTTAACTTATTTTAAAACCATTATCAGTGATGTAATGTTTCTGAATAAGACAAAACACATTTTGCATGCATATTGAGTTACTTTTAACTTGCATTTTAATTTCAGTTACATTTTTTTCTCATCAGTGAAATTTTGACCTGGTGCGCTTATAGTCAGGTGCAACTTGTTTTCCGGAAAATGCAGTACTTGTTTTTGTGTGCTACAGAATACTCAATTACAGAATTATGCAAATACACAATTTGTGATTTTTCATCTTCTGTTGTAAATCTAGATTTTTTTTGTAATGTCTGTGGAGACATTCAGAGATGTAGCTTGTATGGACTTGGCTCGGGCGATTTAAGGAATCATGTGTCAGGGTTGCAGTATGTCTGCTCAGACAGCAAGTTCCCAGAGCCTATTTTTATCCCTGTTATTTTTTGGTCGGTGGAGCTTTGAGCATTAGCACAGCTTGCGTCTTAGTGTTGTTTTGGTCTGGCAAAACATCAGTGTCGTCATAATTTTGTGGTGACTTAGGGGGTTTTAGGATTTTATGGGCGCATATCTAGCTGAGGTGCCCCAGTTTGGTCAAAGTGCCACGCTTGACATTCCTTAACTGTATCTGTGTGTTCTCTAATGTTCAGCGTTTGGACGGCTCCATCAAGGGAGAGATCAGAAAACAAGCACTGGACCACTTTAATGCAGAAGGCTCTGAGGTAAGATCCTAAACTATGGCATGCGTGTTTGTTTTGTTTTCAGATATTTGCTGTGGTTGTGATGTTCCAGTCAGGCACTTTACTGGTTGTGGGAATGCTTGATCACATGGGAAATACAGGCCTTATGTAATTACTAGAAGAAAGAAAATGTAATTCATAAAGGTTCAAAACAAGTCTGTAGTATTGAAATAAGAAGGGCCCATATGTGTTCAAAAACTCTAAATAAATCATTAAATATACAGTATATACAATAAATTAATGTTTTATAAGGTTATGAAATGACTAATGTCACAAAAAATAATGCAAAACCATAAAGCAAAATAATGGTTTCTTAAAGGAACACGCCACTGTTTTTGAAAATAGCTAATTTTCCAACTCCCCTAGAGTTAAACAGTTGAGTTTAGCATCTCCGTTAGCATCTCGCTCAAAAGTTTCGATATTACCTAGCTGGGGACTATTTTCAGGCGCTGCGTAATATCATTGCGCCTGCTGCACCCATGGTACGGCAGCAAAGTTCCTTGATTATTACGCCGGAATGAGAGTATAGTTCCTAGCCATATCGGCCTAGAAAATCGCAACTTTTAATTTTCCGTTGGTCAAAGTACACGATGTAACTACAGAAGAGTCAAGTTTTAAATAGGAAAAATTTCGAAACTCTTTGGTCATTTTTGATTCTAACGGTCTAATCCGATTCAATGATCTATGCTAAGCTGCAGCTAAAAGTGCTACCGCCAGACCCGGAGATCGGCTGAATGGATTCGAAAACAGTAAAACTCAACTGTTTAACTCAAGGGGAGTTGGAAAATGAGCCTATTTTCAAAAATAGTGGCATGTTCCTTTAACAAGTATTGATTTTCTCTGATCGCTCCACCTGTCTGCTGTTGGTCAAACAAACAGATTTACACCATTGGATAGGTTATTATCCAGTTTTTATGCATATTACCTGGAATAGGATACAGTGGGGAAAAAAAGTATTTAGTCAGCCACCAATTGTGCAAGTTCTCCCACTTAAAAAGATGAGAGAGGCCTGTAATTTTCATCATAGGTATACCTCAACTATGAGAGACAAAATGAGAAAAAAAAATCCAGAAAATCACATTGTAGGATTTTTAAAGAATTAATTGGTAAATTCCTCGGTAAAATAAGTATTTGCCCCACTGTATATAGTAGGGCTGTCACGATTCCTTAAATTAGAGTACTTGATTATAAAAAATCCTCAATTGCAAAATACCGGGCATTATTAGACCATTTTGTACGGCTGCACGAAATATTAAAACCATTTAAAAATCATACTAAAGCATAGTGCTATTATGAATTCACAAAGGCTGTGAAAACAATCGTCAGGCCGTTGGCGCCTTGTACATAAGGTATGATTATATTATGTAAATAAACTGTTTTGTTCAATAAAACCATATAATTACTTGCTTTTGGTATTTAATTTGAACCCGTTATTGCTGCCTCATTGCTATTATAAGTGTATTTTAAGTGATTTTAAAGTCTATTGTTCGCTTAGGTCTATTTTTATTATCACAAAAAATATCCCATTACTCGATCGACTGATTACTCGATTAGTGCCAGCCTTAATATATGGATTTAAGCGTTCATCACTAGACTTGCAGTTGGCTCTTGTTCTCACTGTCCCCTGTCTTCCTCAGGACTTCTGTTTCCTGCTGTCCACCCGAGCTGGAGGGCTTGGGATTAACCTGGCCTCTGCTGACACAGTGGTTATCTTTGACTCGGACTGGAACCCACAAAATGATCTTCAAGCCCAGGCTAGAGCCCACAGGATTGGCCAGAAAAAGCAAGTAAGTAGAGCACAAATCTTCGACCTAATGTGTAACCTCACATACCTCTGGAGGAACCTCCAGAATGGAGTCATAAGTAGCAGTACATAGATTGCAATTAAATATATTTTGGGGGTTTTGCCATAGGTGAATATCTATCGTCTGGTCACAAAAGGCACGGTGGAGGAAGACATTATTGAAAGAGCCAAAAAGAAGATGGTTCTAGACCATCTTGTCATTCAGAGAATGGACACCACTGGGCGAACCGTACTAGATAACAACTCAGGAAATTCAAAGTGAGAACCTTGAATATTAAATAGAAAAAAATGTTGTTTTAAACATATTTGTAACAAATAATGCATATCTGTGTGTTGGCCATCTCCAGTTCAAACCCCTTCAGTAAAGAAGAATTGACAGCAATCTTGAAGTTTGGAGCAGAGGATCTGTTTAAGGAACCTGAGGGGGAGGAATCAGAACCGCAGGAAATGGACATTGATGAAATCTTGCGGCTTGCTGAAACCAGAGAGAGTGATCAAGGATCTAGTGCTACAGATGAGCTTCTGTCACAGTTTAAGGTACTTTATTCAATCTTTTATTGTTGTGGCATATTTTCTCCTGAGCCTTGGCCCACAACTCCTGTTTTTCATCTGGTAGGTTGCTAACTTCACCATGGATGAAAGTAAACCAGATCTTGAGGAGAGGCCTATACGCGATTGGGATGACATAATTCCAGAGGAGCAGTGGCGGAAGGTGGAGGAAGAGCAGAAGCAGAAGGAGATGGAAGACATCTACATGCTTCCCAGAAGCAGAAGCTCCAACAAGAGGGTAAGGAGGTGTTTCTAGGTTACTTGAGCTAGTTATTGCCTGCATTTTCATGTACTGTCTAGGGTTGTGCCATCTTAAAGCTGCAGTCTGTAAGTTTTGCCTCTTTGTCACCATCTCTGTTTGAAAACCTGGCTAAATCTAACAAAAACAGGCCATATTTCACCAAAAATAAAAGATCTTATTGAACATTTTTGGACTGACATAATTTTCATGACAATTTAGCGCATATAAACTCCTTAACTGTCCTACTTCCCAGTATCTTACTGTAATGTGCAAAATAATTATTTTTCAACACTTATAATTCAAATATACACTACCTTTCAAAAGTTTGGAGTCAGTAAGATTTTATTTATTTATTTTTTAAGAAATTAATACTTTTATTCTTTGAAGACTTTTAAATTTGTACAAAATATTTCTATTTCAAATAAATACAGTTTTTTTTTTGTTTGTTTATAACAGTGTTCTAAAGAAAAATCCTGAAAATCACTGTTTCCAGAAAAAAAATAAGCAGCTCAACTGTTTTCAACACTGTTAATTATAAAAAAAAAAGGGCTTTTGATATCACAGGAATAAATTGGAATTTATTTTTAAATATTGAAATAGAAAACACTTATTTTAAAGTTGAATACTATTTCACAATATTATTGTTTCACTTTTTTTGGGAATCTAATAAATTAGTGAATAAGTTAATCTTGGTGAGCATAAGAGACTTAAAACAATTCTTACTGACCCCATACGTTTGAATGGTAGTGTACATATTTTTCTTCCACATTAAAGTACTTTTTAAAATTATGTTTGTACATTTACTTAGTGGGCGTATTTGTTGTACTGAATTTGAATGAAAGAAACACTGTATACAACCCTAAGTAAGGTTTTTTTTTATGATTTTGGGTGAAAAATGACTTGTACATGACTTACCATGAGGCTTTTTTATTTTTTTTTTTGCATAAAGGTTTAAAAGGATTTTCAGCTCTGTAAACGGATATGATTCACTTATCAGCATGCATTTATACTATACATGTGTATATCAGTGGACATAATAAATGTGTGTATCCTGTGGCTTTTCAGCGCTTTTATCCTCTCCTGTGAGCTGGATCCATAATATCTTGCGCAGGCTGTAATGACTCGTTAGATTTTATAGCCGCACGCTGATTCCCATGTGATGGCAGCACATGTTTAAGTATGAAGCATCGTAGCTTTTGGAAATGAGTCATTAAGTTTTACAGCGCAGTGGACTCCCCGGTGAAAAGGCTGTGTGCGCGTTTGCAGCCACATGCTCATTACTCTTGCTTCACGCCAGAGATGATTTAATCCGTCCACAAAATATTCATATTCCTAAAAATATATTATATTCCTAAAAATGGTTTTGCTAATCTATGCTTGGAGAGAATGGATAAATACAAGACAAATACAGTTTGCAAAGATATGTCATAGCACATTTTGTTTTTTTTAGGCGCAGGCCAATGACAGCGACAGTGATGTGGGATCCAAACTGAAGCACAGATCCTCGGGTTCAGACAGTGAAACAGATGACAGTGAGGATGACAAACGGCCCAAGCGGCGAGGCAGGCCGAGAGCTCGCAAAAACAATGTGGAGGGATTTACTGACGCAGAGATCCGCAGGTAATATAACTTAACGTCCACTCACTGATTTAAGAAAGGCTTTGCTGTAAACATTGCATTTACTTAATAGTCTGTTTATTTTAGGTTCATAAAGGCATACAAGAAATTTGGAGCTCCGCTTGAGAGGTAAAAAAAATACTATGATCTTAAATTATTATTATTTATTTTTTGTTGTAATTCCATATGTTGTATTCTATAAATCAAATCAAAGTTTATTTATAGAGTTTTTTTTTTTTTTTTAACAACTGTTGTTTTCCAAAGTGCTGTACATGCATAAACAATTTATATACTATTATAACATTTATTAATATTTTGATTTATATTGCTTGTTGTTTGTCATTTCTCCGATCACAAATGCAGACATGGTTTTATGTTTACGTGGCGCGATGCAATGCAACGCATAAAAAGACAGTATAAGTCATTATAATCCATAATTATGTCACCACTGGATGCAACGAATGCCTCGTTTATAATGGGTTTTCATGTTTTTGAATCATCGCCCTGGCCTGACAGGGCATCATCATAGTATGGTAGGGGCGTAACATTTCCGTCTCACGCTTGAGGTATTCGGCCAATCATAATGCACTGGATAGCTGGCCAATCACAGCACACCTTGCTTTTCAGAACGATGAGCTTTGTAAAAATCGACGCGTTTCAGAAAGGCGGGGCATAGAGGAGAAACAATAATGTACAGTATGTGGAAAATAATGCTTTTTTTAACCTTAAACCACATAAACACATTTCATTACACCAAATACACAAAATAATGTTCTTTTTAGCAACATCATATGACCCCTTTAAGGTGGTGGAAAGGATTAGATTACAAGATTACCATGTGGTCATACTTAAACGGTTTTGTGCCAGCAGCTTTAAGTCAAAATGTGTTTGCAAAGGCATTTCAAAAAGAAACCTCTTCTTGTCATATACTAAAGATCAGTTCAGCCAATATGCTTTGACATTTTCATTCTTTGTATCTTCCCACCTCCCAGAAAAAACCCAAAAAGAGGAAACCTCGAATGAAGAACAAGGCCCCTAACAATGATCTGGTCAATGAAATTGCCTCTCCTCGTCTCTCCGACAACCCATCAGAAGAGGGAGAAGTGAAGGTGTGTTCCTTTTATTTCATCTTATCACCTATATAACAAAACAGATTGATTAATGCAAAGATATAAAGACAGAATCCACAGCACTAACCAGTTAGACTGCATATATACAATTCCCTCGTTTTCCAGGATGATGGAGCTGAAAAATCACCCACAAAGAAGAAACAGAAAAAGGATAACAAAGAGAACAAAGAAAAAACAGGAACTCCTAAAAAAGAGAAGGAGGGGGACAAAGACAAAAAGCGTTCCAAGTCCAAAAAAGAGAAGGTATTTTATATGTTGGCATCAGTATTATGTTTCAGCATGAGAACATTTCCTTTAGAACTTGGACTTGAGAATTATGTTTCACCGTCGTCCTGTGGACAATGGTTGTTAGATCAACAGGTTGACTCAAACTCATGATTTAGACCTAAATTATACTGCTATTATAATTAAATTCTCTGTTATAAATATAAAAGTATTAGTTTGGCTTTTTTTGAAAATTCAATTACTTTTTTACGTCCAGGTTGGATCAGACTAAATCTGTACATAATAAGGTTATATCATGTGTCAATGTGTCTCTCATCAGCTCAACTTCTCTCATTTTCAGGCCAAACCAGGAGGAAAGGGGAAGAAAGCTCAAGGCCCTGTGCATATCACTGCAGGAAGTGAGCCTGTACCTATTGGAGAGGAAGATGATGAGCTGGACCAGGAAACGTTCAGCATTGTGAGTGTTAAAATTCTCCTTCCTTCATCTTAGTCTTTCCTTTTCAAGGCATGATGTATAACTGTAATGTATGAAGAAATATGTTTGTTTTTAACGTCCTGAGTGTAAAATGTGATATAATGTGTGCAGTGTAAGGAGCGGATGAGGCCGGTGAAGAAGGCTCTGAAGCAGTTGGATAAACCAGACGAGGGGCTGTCGGTGCAGGAGCAGCTGCAGCACACTCGTACGTGCCTGCTGAAGATTGGAGACCGAATCACAGAGTGCCTTAAATTGTATAGTGACCCTGAGCATGTCAAGACCTGGCGCAGGTATCTCAACTACACATTACACATCCGATTTCAAAAGTTCCCATTATAATTGAACAGTATATTCAACCCCACTTTTAATTTGTCAGAAACCTCTGGATTTTTGTGTCTAAATTTACTGAGTTTGGTGCCCGGAAACTGCACAAGCTGTATAAGATGGCTCAAAAGAAGCGCTCCCAAGAAGAAGAGGTAAGCTCGTCTTAAATCCACAGTTCTTAATGATATTGTTCTCCTCATGTGCCACTTACTCACTTGCTCCTCATATTTCTTACAGAAAGAGCAAAAGAAGAAGGATGATCCCGCCAAGAAAAAATCCTTCAGACCTGAACCGTCTGGATCTAGCTGGGACTCAGGTACCCAGCTCGCAACCAAACCTCATCCTTCGGTCAACCATCCACCTGGACCTCCCCCTCACTCCCACCACAGAGAGCAGTACAACCAGCCCAATAAAAGGCACTTTCCTAATGACGGTGAGAGCTGCAACAATCCGGTTGTTTGACATCAGGTTGTCACCGTTTCCGGGTCCAAACACAGATCGGGAAACAAACGATCAGATCATAAAAGCAAACAATAAACAGCTCATTTGCAATGTGCAGTAGTACGACTAAACGAATAGTGCTCATAAATGGCTTTTGAGAAAGTATTCGCACTTGAAATGGAGAGGAGGCTTGGACCAAGAAACTATTCATGACATTAGGGCTGGGTATCGATTCAGATTTCCCGATTCGATTCGATTTCGATACGCAAGCTCTCGATTCGATTCGATTCTCGATTTTTTTGATTACATTCAGTGAATATAGTTTTAATACAAATGCTATTGATATTTCTAAAAAATTAACAGTAAACATCAGTTTACAAATGGTGAATTAATAAAAAGAAATTAAGAACCACATGCCTGTATTTTAAACCTATTCTTTTTTTTTTTTGTATAGGGTCCTTTTTTAAACAATAATAGGGCCCTATAAAATGTTCTTAATTTTTCTGGTAATCAGATGAAGGCATAAAACATTAATTTAATTTATCCTAATCAAATGAAAATTAAACCCTTTTATTTTTTGGCAAACAAAGTGCTGCACAACAGAGGTTTACTGTTAAAATGAAAACAGATGTGATTATTCCTTTAAAAATAAAGATTTATTCATATTTATTAGCAGTAGTAGCATGGAGTCGTAAGACTGCTAAATAGTAATATATTCAGACAGTAGAACGTTAAACTAAACATCTATTTTGACAGGTTGCCGTAAAGAACTTGCAGCTGCTGTGTATGTGATATGACGGTAGATTTCTCAAATGAAATGGTAAATGCTAATGAAGTGACTCTCAGAGCAGCTGGAGATGACATTCGTGTTCATATCATCATGTAGTGAGACGGCAGAAGCTGAAAACACCACGTTTTAGTATGTGTAAACAAAACTATTCATTCATTGCGGAAATCATGGCGCCTTATGCGTGATATCACATGCTTCCGCAGATTTATAGTATTACTATAGCATTTCACCTGAGCATTGCGAATCACGCGTATGGCCATGATAAGCACTGAATGAATGACAGGATTTCTGTTGTAACATCGCGCAAGGTAAATAAGGATGACATCTAGTGGAGAAGACTAATGATAAGATTCACGTTAATCAGATCTTGTTTTAAATGTGTGCTGAAATAAATACTGGAAAAGATAGATTTGCGGCTTTTGAGAATAGATATCGAATCGACGTTATTTAAAAAAAAATAAAAAATTAATCGGAAAATCTATTTGTTTGCCCAGCCCTACATGACATATTACAGTTTGATTAGCTGTATGTAACTTATGGTTTTGATATCAAAGATTTTGAACAACTGTAAATTGTCATTAATGATTCCAGTTGTAATATTTAAGGATCAACTGTCTCATTTGGTACCTTGTGCATCTTTTAACAGATAGGGGAGATTGGCAAAGGGACCGTAAATACAGCTACCCGGGCAACAGCAGTCAGCCCTGGCAAGGGGATCGGCATCACTCGTATGACACTCACAGGTACAAGGACCATCACTATGGTGACCGTCGTCCTCATGGTGACTACCGCAGCTCAGGAGGTTACCGGAACAGCAGCTCCCCTCGCAAACGACCCTATGACCAGTATGGTAATGATAGAGATCATCGGGGCCACCGAGACTATTATGACAGGTGAGCAAAGGGGCTTTTTATTAAAGGGGTCAAATTACGTTGCTAAAAAATTATATTATTTTGTGTAATGATTTATGTTTTCAGACATCCAGACCCTAAGAGAAGGCGTTCGGATGAATACCGCTCTCCGAACTATTACCCAGGTGGAGGAGGGCATCCACAGGACTTCCGAAGGATGCCAGACCACAGGGGACCCCCTGGAAACCATGGCCCAATGGGGCCCGATCACTACCGCCCCTTCCACCCTGACAAACCCCCGCCCCTGATTGACCCCCGCTCCCCTCAGTCTCAGAAATCCCCTCTTGAGCCCATCTCACCTGCTTTGGAAAGAACTGCAGAGCAGAAACCTGTGACGGACTTTAATTGGAACAACAGGAAGACATGAGGTGAATACTTGGTTAGTGCAGAGACGGTCTGGACTGCCAAAGGTCATGGCAGAAAGGCCACCTCAGGCAATAAATGGAGCCACCACCAAACTCCTCTTTATCGCCACTGTGTCCTCCGCTCTCTTCTAGGTTTCACAACCAGGTTAAGTCCGCTGTTTTGAACTGAGACAAAACAAAGCATGGTTAGTCCTATGGACTATGATTGAACTTGATGAAGTGTTGAAGTTTGCCTAAGTTAGAAAGTGCCTCGTGTATTTGGTCTTTGTTGAGAGTCATTAGCAGAAAGGGACTATCCCCAAAGCAAACTTTTCTTTGATGTTCATGTCTTTTTGTTTTGTGCAAAAAAAATTGTTTTTTTTCATGAACATAGCCTTTGTGGGAGGAGAAAAAATGAATTGTTCTAATTGCACCTTCAGATGTCGATTCATTGTTCTGTTGAGCTATTTGAAACAATCGGTTTTGCTTTCTGAAATACCCAGACCCCTGTGATCGTACGTCATTTTGAGGAAAAAAAATCAAGTAATTACATGTACATTTTGGTCTTTTGATATTGTTATCATGTAGGAGTCACAAATATGTGATGAGCAACAACCGCAACAATTACTGGAATTGTTTTTCTCAATTTATCAAATCAGCTAATGTGTCTTCGCTATTGCAGACCCGCCACTTGTTAATATTGCAATGCTCAAACGCCCTGTTTGAGGACAGTAGCCTTATTTAAAAAAGAAAGAAGAAAAAAAAAGGCTAAACAGTATTCAGGGTCTATGTAGACCTTGTCTGAACACTAGATAATCATAGCACGTAAGCTATCTTTCTCTTTATTTTCTTATATCTGTAACACTTGGCACCACTTAAGTTCACTTTATGGTCAGTGCTTGTACTGTTGCATCTTTTTATTGCACTAAAAGGACAGTACTTGCTTGATTTTGAGTATGTAGTAATGGCAGACATTACCCGAATCTGATTTTCATGTTTCGTTGAGTTGTTTTCTCAGTATGAGTGTGCTGAAACGCTGATACCGTTGACCTTTAAGTGGAAATGTGAGCACTGTATGAATGTACAGATGCGTGTTTAGGGAGTGGGCAGGTGTTTCAATCTATTTTTTGTGAACCAGATTTTGTGCCAAAACATTGACAGACTGGCATGCTGGTAAATACCATTCATTGATTGTTTGTTTGTTTGATGTGTTTTTCCATCTGTGCCTTATTCTTGTGTAGATTCAAACACCGGATTGGTACAAGGATGTAAAGCGGTCGGAAATGATGCAGTATTATGCTGTAGTGTACTATTTCAAAACAATTGCCAGGATGGAATTTTAACTAGGTGCATGTAAAGCCAGCTCTGGTGAGTGGGGAACAATGTAGTGTGCTCCTTTTCAAAACATGGTGGCAGGACTGGGAGAGCAGGTGAGCTGGTGAAATGTGGATACGTCTGCAATGAAATACTGAAGATGTGTTACTACTTTCCCACCCAAGCTCCTGCTCTCACTCCATGGACATGTTAAGCTTTGAAACAAGCCAATTTAAAGTAATTTATATTTGTGAAAAGCCACTGTTCAGATTAATTGTTCTGTACATATGTGTATAGACCTATATGTATTAAACTTTCCTACATCATGGACTATCTCTGTTTTTGTTCTTCACTGATAATTAAAACCAATAGCAGTTTTCATAACTAGTTTTATGCAAAACTACAATGTCAATTGCGGTCTTCGTTAAGTTTACCAGCTTTAATTTTTCATTTATTTAATGTTATATTTAGGACAAACCCCTGAATGGTAAAATAAAATGTTATTGACTCCGCCGTTCGGAATAATAAATGAAAAAAATTAGTGAAATTCTCTGCGTTAACATGAATTATCTTCAGCCTGCTGAAATGTTCCTATGAATATATTTCTCTTCCAAATATGCATTCCGAATAATAAATATACACTGATCATATTTCATACCCGTTGAATTTACAGTTTTAAATGAATTTGACTGATAAACACCCATACGAAAAATAACCATGGTTTTACTATAGTAAAAGTGTAGTAACCGTGTTTTATTTTTTAAAATTTGTTTTGCGGTTTACCATTTGTGTAACCTAATTCAAACACCATGGTTAAACTATGGTTAGTGTACCAAAACCCTGGTTTATTATGGTTTAACTACAATTACTCATTTTCAGGGGAAGTTGCTAAAGGAAGGTTGATTTGTTGCTAAAAGTTGCTAAATTATGTTGTGATGACATTGCGTGATGACGTCATTACGTAATCACGATTTAAATTGTCAAATCTCAGCAAAAACATATATCCAGCTTTTTCTTCAACGAGGAAGTAAGCCTATGGGTGAGACTTCCGGTTCATTAGCCGCTAAAGGTAAATAACGAGGAGAATAACAACGTGCAGTAAACGGTAAAAATGTTTGCACTACAAACCAGTGTGTTCATAATTAAGATAATACATTAAAATAATATGATAAGACACACCAACTTTCAATATCAAGCAGCAAAACTAACTGTTTTGTTCAGCTAAAAATAGCTGGACGGAGTGGACGCAGATGAGACCGGAAGCCAGACCCATAAAATTTACAAATTTACCCATTTTTACGACAAGAAAAAGGTGGGTTTTTATATATGTTCATTTAGATTTGTTCGTAGCAATGTAAATGCATAATATAATATTAAAATATAAATAACTTTTTAAATCCATTGAATTATCGAAAACGTACACATTTTTGAACGATTACAATTTAAGTTGTATACTTTAAAGCAGTTTATTAGTAGTTAGTTCGTATGCTGCACTCTAAGAAAAGTAAAGAAACAATGCACAATCTACTGGGTTAATATGAAGGAATTTTCTGGATTGATTTTTTTCCACAGGTTTTTGTACCTGCATTTTTAATTACGCATTGTATTTTGTGCATTACAACGGGTAATGTCCTGGAAAATTACTAGCACCTTTTCCATTTTTCTGCATATTTTTCTTACAGTGTACTAAGAAACAGTGTAACTCATCAACAATCAAGCTACTAACAAAGTGTCTCATAAATGAAAAATAACAGTATTCAATTATTATTATTATTACTATTAAACAATTGCAAATAGCAGCTAACTTAATTCCTGTAACGTGTGTACTGCTAGGCATCTTTGGTTTCCTCTTTTTGTGTAATTGAAATGGTAAATTGTGCCTTTTTATCGTTTGAGTCACTTATCAAAAGTTGCTAAAAGCTGCCAAATAAATAATAATAAAAAAATAGCTAAATTTGTTGCTAGGTGCTTTTGGAAGAAAAAGTTGCTAGGGTAGTCTGAAAAGTTGCTAAATTTAGCAACAAAATTGCTAAGTTGGCAACACTGGTCACTGTGGCAAATATCAGCAGCTTTGTTAAAAAAAACCTGTACATTAAAGCTGAAATACAACCTGAATGATGACAACAATAACGTAGGCTACATTCACTAGACTAGTGATCATCAAATCCTTTTAACAGTTCATTTTACAGACTTTATTCTAAAGTCTTCCCTTTTTTCACAAAACCTTTTGCTCTCTAGAAACCATGTCAGTTTCGGTTGAAAATATTTTAAGTTCAAGTGTTGCCATTATAAACACTGAATTAATACCAACATATGAACTTAAATTAATGACAGAAAAATTAGGAATGTTGGACAAAAAATATAGCCTAACAGGAATAACAGCTGCGCTGTGTGCGAGAACAGTGCGTGAGTAACGAATTGAGCTCTCTTTCGTTTCTTCTTCTTAAAGTGTCTCATAAATGAAAAATAACAGTATTCAATTATTATTATTATTACTATTAAACAATTGCAAATAGCAGCTAACTTAATTCCTGTAACGTGTGTACTGCTAGGCATCTTTGGTTTCCTCTTTTTGTGTAATTGAAATGGTAAATTGTGCCTTTTTATCGTTTGAGTCACTTATCAAAAGTTGCTAAAAGCTGCCAAATAAATAATAATAAAAAAATAGCTAAATTTGTTGCTAGGTGCTTTTGGAAGAAAAAGTTGCTAGGGTAGTCTGAAAAGTTGCTAAATTTAGCAACAAAATTGCTAAGTTGGCAACACTGGTCACTGTGGCAAATATCAGCAGCTTTGTTAAAAAAAACCCGTACATTAAAGCTGAAATACAACCTGAATGATGACAACAATAACGTAGGCTACATTCACTAGACTAGTGATCATCAAATCCTTTTAACAGTTCATTTTACAGACTTTATTCTAAAGTCTTCCCTTTTTTCACAAAACCTTTTGCTCTCTAGAAACCATGTCAGTTTCGGTTGAAAATATTTTAAGTTCAAGTGTTGCCATTATAAACACTGAATTAATACCAACATATGAACTTAAATTAATGACAGAAAAATTAGGAATGTTGGACAAAAAATATAGCCTAACAGGAATAACAGCTGCGCTGTGTGCGAGAACAGTGCGTGAGTAACGAATTGAGCTCTCTTTCGTTTCTTCTTCTTGTGGTTTAAAATTGCTTGTACGTGTAAATTGGCAAATTAATCTGTAAATCACGTGCGTGCCGAACGGTAGGGTCTCGATCTTTTGTATTACGATCAACTGCGATCCGTTTAACTCCTAATTAATATATGACAGATCAGAGCAATCTTTCATTTACTTATTTAACATGAAATTGTCAAATTTCTACTGCATATCAATCGCATACAATGAAAATACAGAATAATTAGAACAATCATTAACATAAATAAATAACAGAGTTTCATATCTATACACATTTTCCCCAGAACGTTCTTGACCCGGTAGTGGGTCGCGACCACTGATCTATAATAGAGAACATTCATTAGGCTATATATAGATCAGTGGTCGCGACCCGGTGGTTGGGGACCTTTGTTCACTCTTTGGTAAAACCATAATTTTTGTAAGAGCATTATTGCTTGTGCGCGTTGGTGCTCCTATTTTGTAAATGGCTGAATGAATGTGCAGTAACTGCCTTAAAGAAATTTTAATGATGTTAAACATTTAATTAATTTTAACAGTAACGCGTTGACAGTCCAGCTACTTTGAATATTCATATTTTGGACAGTGAGATGATTGTGAATGGAAAATGACAGAATAGTGACATATTCACATACATATTTTTAAACATAACCCAGATAAAGAAAAGGTTCATTCTGATATTCATCAGATCTCACGTACACTGCAGCTACGCGATTAGTTTAGAGCACTGACACCCCTGTGGTGAAACAATCACATGTTTACCAGCCACTGTTTTCTCACGGTTTATGCTAGATTAAAACTTCACGTTCCATTGAGTTTGGAAAATTCTGCACACAGTAATCATCAGAATATCTCTTCGCCTGTCTCTGAAAATGTCCGGATTTTGAAATCATCCCACGGACTCTCATTTTAATAGGCATTTAAGTCAACTAGATGATTATGGCACATCGAAAATATATATAACCGGAAATAACAGCTGTATTATTTCAAAACGGAAGTGCGTCACGAGGTTCGTGCAAGTAGTCCATTGCTAAGGTGAGACATTCTTCAGTCCATATTGTATATTTGGTTGTTTTTCAGCACGCTTTACATTAATAACATATTTAAGTTATTAAAGAGAATAAGGGAATCGATATAGTTATTACGCTGTCCTTCAGATATGATATAGGCCTAGCCTGTTTTGAATCATAATGACGAACTGGATTAGAAACGTCATAAAAACCTTTTAAATCTGTCTGCTCAGTCTTTTCGCTTATAAGTGTTGATTCTTTATAAGTGGGGAAAGCACCTTTGACTATAAATAATATCTGAGCTAGGTTTATAGAGCGAAAGTTACAATAGGGCTCAAACACGGTAATGAACATTGTTCTCTTTAGATAGGATCACGGCTGTAGTCTAAAATGATTCAGCAAATTGAGTTGACTTATTGTACCATTAGGTGGCAGTCTTAGCTCAACGTACTTACACTAGTCTAATGCTGTGGTGAAGTCACTTCAAACATGAATTCAAACAAAAAGGAACAGCTGGATACAAAAACCCAAACATCAAAAATATATCAACATGACACTTTATTTTTCTTCAATAAATAATTTACAGTATTTACAGGTGGTGTGTGGCACCGCTTTAGTCCTACATACAAAAACAGACTAAGCTGTCTGGTATCTCCCATTCAATGTTAATACATTTGAAAATGTTATCATTCACTTTTATTTTTTAACATAACCTCTTTCACCATCAAGTTAAAACCAAGTAAGAGCTAGGTTAAAGAGAATAAAAACATAAAGTGCTTTTGTAATAAACAACACATGAACACCGCAAGTGACACGTTTCCTACTTACTATTTAGTTAAAGGACATGATGTCTCTTTTTTTACTCTTGTTCCAAATGAGATTGTAAGTCCCTTATCTTATTTTTTTTTTGTGGTGCTTGTGTACACAATATCCCTTTAAATGTAAATGTAAAGGTACATTTCACCACACCCTCTGATGTACCAAAAAATCAGCACAAAATATGATTTGCTAAATCACACAAACTTATATACATGTCACATTACACATATAAATCCAAAAAGCACTGACAACACAAGCACACTTAAACAAGTCATTACAATCATTTTGTATGCTTTCAAAAGTCTCTTTAAAGCCATGAACTGCACCAACAACACAAGCTTTCTTAGCAGTAGTAAGGCTCGCAAAACTTTACAGTGTAAGAATAAATTATCATGGTCAAAGGATTCTTTATGTATAATTAATATCTAAACCATATTTTCATAGTTCAAACTTTTTACTAAGAAAACAAACAATGATAAGAGACAACAGTGACAGATGTTCTTAGAAGAAATGGGACATGATGAAGATGAAGTTATGTGGGCTTCATCTTCCATAAAGACCTTTCCAACAGTCTCTAGACATGGCCTAAAAAACTATTACGCTACCAAGGGTGCAGTTTCACTCTTCAAAATAGTGGCGCTATGTATCGTGTGACTTTAGCTTGCCAATACTACTAATGCTATTTACAATACTGAGTGCCAGTAATCCTGAGCCTGCTAATGGCTGAAGAGCACATGCCCCCATTTCAAATGTCACAAGAAATGCATGGCAGATGTTCTCAATAGTTCCTGAACTGGTCCATCCACCACACTGTAGTTAGCAGCACCTTATTATACACAATCAGGACATCTGGTTTGAGCCCAAATACTGAAGTGAACCACAAAAGGTCCCATGAGAAAGAGAAAATTCAGCTGTTTGGGAAGTTGTTGGCACCATGGCTTGTTCTTTGGCAAAACGCCTCCGCCATAAATTCACAGATCTACAGAGTCGTGAGTTAAACGGGGCCTACAGCACAGCCACGTCGACACCCTTTTGAAATGGAGAGCAAGGCGTTGCTCTTTAAGAAGCAGTAAGGATGGTTGATTGACCTTCCTTGTGGGTCCCATCTCAAACTGCAAACATTTTATGGAGGAACTTGGCTCTCTCCTGGGTATAAACGTTGATGGTTATGCTACCTACTGATTATTTTGTTTTCCACAAATGTGTTTATCTGAAGCAAGTGTGCTATTTTCAAAGACAACTCTGTCTTGGGTTATACAACTGTATGACGTGAATTATATATTTTTTTATTCAATGGCCTTTACTTTGTGAACAAAGTTATTCTCTATGTGCCTAACAGTTGTTCAGGCTGACTTTGAACACCCAATTTGACAATGGAGAAAATTCAATTAATATTTTCCAAAATTATAACACCTAAGCAGTATGGGTGTAGTTTAAAGTCTGTTTGACACAATGGTTGACACCCTTTTTTATATAAAATGTAGGAAAGAGCTCTTGGCAGGCAGTAAACCTTCTTACTGACCTATGAACCACCACACCAGAGCTACATTAGGGCCCTGGGTGCAATATACAGATATTATGAAACACTTCACTCATTCACACATATATTATATTCATATAATCACCCACAAAATAACACATCTTTCTCATGCACACACACATAGACAAACTATACAAAAGGCCTGATGTTATGGCCTCTGTAGACAACATGACTTACTAGTCTGACATGGCCTTGGCCAGGGGGTTTTCTCTAGAAAGCTAACATTTTTCCGAAGCTGGAGCTTCTTCAAAGAGAGAACTCCTGCCGGCCCTCCAACGTTTGGAGACGTTAATAAAAGCTCCTGTCATGTCCTCCAGCCTGACTCCGGGAGACATACTTCATCTCTCACTTGGCATCAAGTGAACTGAAGAACATCTCCAAGCTCTTCTTTCTGCAAAGGATCATCCCCCTCTCACTCCTGTCAGTGGCACATCACCCTGGTGGGAAAAATGGTGGTTTAATCTGACTCGAGTCTCAGGACCTCTCAGCACTGCGTTCTCTGTCATGAAGCAGTTATGCGATCAGCATGATTAACCACAGAGATGGGTGGATCTCCAGGAACGCTTCAGCTCTGGCCTGATGAATGAACATACGCGATGATGACGAGAGATGAGTCCATGGCGTGACACAAGACACACAAGTGTGAAAGCCCTCGGCAGAAGCTCAGGCTCTAGCTGAGAAGCCCAGCCTCTGATAGATGGAACACAACACTGTGAGAGCAGCATTTCACATGCATACAGCATCTTACATCCATCTAACAAGGATCTCCATTGGGGACTACAGACAAATGAAACACAAGTCAGTCCATAACTGTGCTACAACAAGGCTGATGAGGATTAGGAAACTAAAACCCCATTTTTCTGAGGCAGAATTGAATATTGTATCCCTTTCAAAGAGGTGATACTTGTCTTTGTTGGAGTGGAGCATTTTAACATCCTCAAAGGCGTAGTAGGCCGACAGGGTGAAGTTGATGTCACCAGAAGATAGCAGGTCAAAAACACAGGATTGGAAATACAAATCCTCAACTGGTAGACGTTCTTTGCACTTGGACATGGCTGACTGGTATGTAAAGCCATGTGTAGGAGTGCCTGACCTTCCCCTGCCTAAGCCTTGGCTCTCTGCTGCATGTGCTCTGAAGGTCCTGAAGTCTATTCGCTGGTTGGCAGGGCAACCATGCAGGCAGAGGTAAAGGTCCTGGTTGTCCTGGTCCTCCACTGAATTCACAACCTCCTCTGGCATCCGCACTGCAAAGGTGAGGTAGCGGCCAACCTGCCGAACTACAATAGTGGTGCCGATATAACGTGCCTGGATCTCCACATGTTGTCCAGGCACCTTCTCTACTATACGTAGGGTGTTGGCCCCATGGCGGTCACCTCCGTTTTTTGAACCATCAGCAAATGCAGCTGGAAGCTCGTCAGTCTCTGCATGGTACATCTTCTGGTCTACACATTCTTGAAAGTTCTTGAAGATGATTGTTAGCTGTGATAAAAGTAAGAGTGAGAACAAGTGAGAACGAGTTATTTGCAAGATTATTTAAATTGTACTCTATTAATTATGGTTTTGGACATAAATACTTTAAAACATCGGGAACAGAAAAAAAGCCATTACCTGAAACTGTAAAAACATTAACCGAATTGTTCTAGTTAACAACAGAAATTATAGCCTAAATCAGATTCTAGAAAAAAAGTAGATGGCTAGAAAACATTTAAAGTGCACAAAGTTTTGATGTTGAAAATGCTATATTTGTTCAATCAAAACCAGCCAAGAAATAGCAACCACAGACATAAAGTGTTTTATGCACCACTGCATATGGCAAACGATGGTGACTGAGTACTCCATTCTGCATAACTGAGCCTTGTCTTTATAAAACCAGAGGACTGTGTTGTGCATACCCTTCAAGCCCAGAAGCTTTCGTAATGTCACATTTCAACAGCAGCTCAAGATACAGGGGGCCAATGTAAATGCACTCTGGAGAAACACAGGTCCAGTCTATGTTACAGCAGGCCTCAGTATGCAGACACAAAGACAATCCTTTCATGCTGCTCAGAGCCTGCCTGTGAACCCCAGATTCAGCTCCAGGGAGTGGACTCACGCCAGCTAGAGAGCACAGCCTGCACAGGGGCTAATTAGAGAAGGCTGCTCCTACCTCTTGAGTCCTCCAGCAAGCAGCCATTAGGAGGCCAATGGTCTGCTGACACGTATGTGACCTCGGGATGTCCAGGCTGCTCTGATCTTGCAAATGATGCATATGAGTGTGTGTGTGTGTCTATGTCTGAGTGTAGTGGAGACTCGGTTAAGCCAAACCACCCTATAATCACTAATGGTGCAGTGATCTGCCTCCTGTTAGCGCCACTTTAGTTTTTTTAAAGCAAAGGGTCTATCAATAAACAAGGGACGTCTTGTTTGCACAGGTGCCATCTACCTGCAGACCTGTTTTTCGCTTTTGTCCGAGCTGAATGACTCCAGAGCCACTGTCATTTATTCAAAAAACAGTCCGCTTAACAAAAATATCATGATCCCTTTCCCTCCTACAAGAAAGAACTGTGGGTCCATCTACTTAATGGGGAATCATTAGAGGTTTTTGATGGCGGAAAATTGCTGTTTCTTAACGTGACTGAGTACAGAGTTCTTGTGTTTTTCTGCCACAAGGAAAGACTCTGAAAAACATTCAACCCTGGTCACAAAATTACTGCAGCCAAAAGGACATCAGGCATAGTGAAATTAGCATTCGGCAATCGGACACATAAACTTGTAGTCCTGTTTTTTTCACCTTAGGCTCCACAGCTGGCCAATTCTAAGGCAGCTCCCTAGTTTGTTCAATGGGCCGTAAAGCAAAACAATGATAATTTATGAGGTATGAGGGCCAACTAATGCAAAGAAAATATTGACTGTTTCCTGTATGGACTGAGCACTTAGTTAAAACAACAAGACTCCTAAATCACACAAACAATGGTAAGGACTGCCACAGATATAGTAGCATTAGTTTTGAATGTCCGACAAAAAAAATGAAGGCACTTGAGCCTGCTAACATTCTAAGTTATTACCTCTCTTTTGTTGCTGGCACTTCTTAAAAAAAATATCTTATCTTATGTCTTATCTCGTCTTCATCAGTCGTGGAACACATCCAAATGCTAACTAGAGTCTGTGCTTACGAAGTCTGCTTTCTCTTCCTGCTGGTAAAACCACACTTTCACCATTAACTAGTTCCATGCTGAAACAGTTCCTTAAAGGGATCATATGATGCGATTTCAATTTTTCCTTTCTCTTTGAAGTGTTACAAACTCTTGGTGCATAAAGAAGATCTGTAAAGTTGCAAAGACTAAAGTCTCAAATCCAAAGAGATATTCTTTATAAAAGTTAAGAGTCAACCACGCCTAACTAAAACGGCTCGTTCTAACATGCCCCCACATATCTACGTCACGATGTGGGAAGATTTGCATAATGCCGCCCAAATGTTCACGCAAAGAAAGAAGGCATAACTTTTATTCTCGCTGTAGTATTGTTGCTGCCGCCATGTCGTGAAGCGACCTGAAGTGTGTTCCGTTGTGAAAGCGAAACTACTTTGTTTGGCCTTCCAAAAGAGGACGATATCCGCTTCGTCATGCCTAGAGCTGATCCGTGTTGGTCGCTGAGGAAATGCATCAACTTCGCGCTGTGGATCGCCGGATCAGCTTTCACCAGGGATGAAGCGGAGTCCAGCCCGGGGTCGTTGGCTCACTCTAGCCGCAGGCCTCCGCTCACTCAAGGCCGCCGTGTGTGACGCTGTGTTTCGTTGTGAAATCGAAACTACTTTGTTTGGCCTTCCAAAAGAGGACACGACTAGAAATCAGTGGTTAAGTTGTATTTACAACACTGTTCCAGAACAGTTTAACCCAAATATTCAGATGTGTGCAGCACATTTTATGGAGGACTGTTTCTTGATCCTGGTAGAGTAGACTACAATGCCGGCTGTTCTGATGCCCAGACTGTAAGTACGTTTTTTATATATAAAGAATTTGCCACTGACGATTCAAACGCGAGTTTTGAGCAGTGTAGAGTAGCGCTTGTTGTTTGTCATTTCTCCGATCACAAATGCAGACATGGTTTTATGTTTACGGGGTGCGATGCAACGCATAAAAACACAGTATAAGTCATTATAATCTGTAATTATGTCCCCACTGGATGCAACAAATGCCTCGTTTATAATGGGTTTTAATGTTTTTGTCTCGTCGCTCCAGCCGGACAGGGCATCACAGTATGGTAGGGTGTAACATTTCCGTCACACGCTTGAGGTATTTGGCCAATCACAACGCACTGGATAGCTGGCCAATCAGAGCACACCTCGCTTTTCAGACCGATGAGCTTTGTAAAAATCGACGCGTTTCAGAAAGGCGGGGCATAGAGGAGAAACAGTAATGTACAGTATGTGGAAAATAATGTGTTTTTTTAACCTTAAACCAAATAAACACATTTCATTACACCAAATACACAAAATAATGTTCTTTTTAGCAACATCATATGACCCCTTTAAAGTTCCTTAAAATTTGGGCTATGGTTGAAAATCAGCTGCTGAAATAAGACCACAGACCGAAGCTGAAATTACTTTTGCTTGTTTTTTATGTGAGGCACAAAATATCCTTACCTTGCTAGTAGCTGTAGCAGAAGATCCAGGTACAACAGGAGTGTTCGTAACCTGCACGGACAGGTACTTATTGTGAATCAGTGGCCAGGCTCCCTCAACTTTACAGGTCTGAAAGTCATCGTTGAATGTGCGGAGATGTGGGTCCCCAAAAAAGCCACAGTGAGTGTAATTGGGAGGCGCAGCATTACGTGGTAAACTCCGCTCGTAATGGCACACCTCTGGCCTGTCAGAGGGAATGTTGATGTCCGGTGGTGGCTGGACCGGGGGCGGGGGTGTGCGGGCATGAGGCTGGGTAGTGGGCCCTTCTTTAGAGCAATTGTGTTGGCTCATAAGATCCTCGATACCATGTTGGGCTGAATGGTAGGCCAGGTCACCCCGGCACGTACGGGCAGTGCGTCGGACACAGTTGTTATACGCTCTCAGAGCGGTGCATAACTCCTCTTCTGGGCCAGAGCTGGAGGTGGAGGCCCAGAACTCGGAGTTACACTTGAGGATCTTACACTGCAGAGTTGCTGTAAAGTGAAAAGAGAGAGAACATAAACACACTGTCATGGTCAAACCAAGTTTACAGAAAGCTGAAATGAAATAAATATCAACCGGAGTAGCTGACAAAACTGATTAAGCTTTTAAATTGAAAACTAACAGTTATAATAAAAACAAAGGCTTTTGAGAAAAAGAGTTGTAAAATAACTTGTCCTTTACATTTTTAATCAAGAATAGCCCATTTTCATTTTTTATAGTTAATTTTACACCCTCTTTGCACTTTTTATACACATTTAATTTAGTAATACTTTTTATTCTGATTATGTCAGTACTGAACTTTAAATGAAGTTCAGTTTATTGTTATGTTCATGAATGCCAGTTGCTCAAGGCTCTCATAACAACACATGAATTCTCTCTACATCTGGACAAAGTGAGGCTTTAATTTCATCAGTAATAAAAAACAACATTCCAACTAAGTTCCAAGTTTCTGTGTTTTGCCAACTTCCATCAAGTCTTAAGTGCTCTAAATGTAGTATAAAAGCAAGGCTATTGTTGTCTTGTTGCCTTTAAAAAAAACAAAAAAACTAAGTAGGCCAATCAACATTTGTTGATTTAATGTGAAATTCAAAATGTTAATGGAATATTCTGATTATGTCGATGACGGGAGAAAAGCTCAAAACTTAAGAGCTATTGAAATACAAAACGTAAAGCAATAAGCATCTAAATAGGCATCATTACAAAGTAATGAACTCTCGACAAGCTTATCTAACTTCATTACCTCACCATGAATGACATCACTTTATATTAGTAAATGGGCCCATTTGGATAAAGAGCAATTTCACACTTTTTAAGGTGCAACACAAATGAAAAGCATTAAGACAAATGGAAAGGAAGCCTTCAAACTGACAATTACACCAACACAAGTCTATTATTTAGAAGTGTTAATCATCTCGTATCATATTCACACTCGTCACACCTTGTGCTGTAATTTTGCATTGCTAAGCAGATAGTGGGGGTGCTTTTGAGTGAAGCACCATGGGTGTCAGTGACCGAGGGCAAATGCACATCTGAAAAAAATCACTTAGGGTTTTAACAGAAGGGGTTAGCTGTGTGTGTGTGTCTGTGGGAGGATGTAGTCCTAGGACTCTGAATGAAGACAATGCAATTTGCCATTGAGAAGAATCCAGCAGTCATAAATTAGCCCTGTGTAAAGGGATTAGGTAAAGTTTCATCAGCCATGCAGGGCAGGAGGGAAGGGGGGCTATGGACTGCCTTAAAGAAACAGGATCTCTGGAGAGAAACTGGCTCCAGGACCAATTGGCGGAACACAGAGTAGGTCTCACCATTCCACAGGTCAAACTGGATATGAGATAGCCCCCTGTCCAGAGCAAAAGGCCATAATCAAAGGCAAAAGCAATTTCAAGCACATTCCCCTTTCTCGGATTACAAGAGCTGAATTGAAATCTGAAGGCTTTTCAATCATGTGTTTTTTCATCATTTGCATTTGATAAAATGCAAGGACATGCCAAAACTACACACAACTTTGTTTCCAAATGATCACGCAACAATCTTTGTTGTCTCAGTCACACACACATCTTCTACCTTCCAGCTACAAAGGGAATTTATCATCCTATCTGAGAAGAGACAATAGGCTAATTTAAGATGTCAACGACTAGTGCTTGCATGAATGCCTTTTGTTTGGGGTTAAATAACTTGAAAGAAGATGGGACACAAGGTGTGAAATCAAACTGCACGCTACTTATAACTGACCAGAGCCTTGACAGAACAAAACAACACTTGTAAATTCCATTATAGTGAGATACACCGGAATTCATTGTCACATTTGGAAAACACTGTTGACCCACAATCATGTAATTCACTGTGAAATTAATGCATGCTAGGTCATTAATCATTTAAAACCATATTGGTATTCATGTTTGTTAAAGAAAAAAATGTATTCCAATTGAGTGGTTATGATCTCTGGTGAATTTTAGAAGTGGTCAATCAAGCATGCAGACATTAACACTCTGCATAGAAAAATATCAATAATGGTCACATTCAAATTTTAATTTTAGATAAAAAAAACTCTGAACACTACAAAACAAGTAACTTCAAGTGACAGCAACTGCAAAACTCATTCATGACACAGTGTATGCTGGGAACATAAGTATCAATTTAATATCGTGGACATCAAATATTACTGTTAATCTATAAATAAGACTCTAATGTAGTGCAAACAGATATAATGTCTGTGATCCTACAACACTACACTTTAAAGGGGTCATATGACATTGCTAAAAAGAACATTATTTTGTGTATTTGGTGTAATGCAATGTGTTTATGTGGTTTAAGGTTAAAAAAACACATTATTTTCCACATAATGTACATTTTTGTTGCTTCTCTATGCCCCGCCTGGTCGATTTTTACAAAGCTTATCGTTCTGAAAAGCGAGGTGTACGCTGATTGGCCAGCTATCCAGTGCATTGTGATTGGCCGAATTCCTCAAGTGTGTGACGGAA